AAAAAACAAGTGAATTCGAGCAGTAAAAAAGTAAATTTTTTTTTGTTGCGTCCAAGCCATGCGCTTTACTGATAGCAATTTGGCCGCGTGTGCCACTGGCACTTTGTTCATGCGCACCGGCGGCTGTCAATTTATGTGACACGAAATGTGTTTATTGGAGACACTGGCTAGTCACGTATTTGAACGCATGCATTCATGCATACTTATATATATGCTACATATGTATGTAGAGAGTGGGGTGGTTCAAAAAAAATTTTTAAATTTTAATCTCTCACCACCTAGCATTCCTATAAATGGATAAAAGGAATAACCGTAATTTTTGTTAAAAAAAAAAAATTTATTTAGAACTGCCTCATGAAGTTTTCTATGTATTTTGTATGGGTATAACAGAATTAGAATTTTTGAAAATAAATTTTTTTCGATCGGAAAACTCTGTTTCTCTTTAAGAGACTTCCAATTATATTACCCAATTGTTTATTTAACCATTGTTTAGTATTAACTATTTTTTATAGGTTCCCCATATGAATGGGTAGTGGGACGTTAAAATTCGATTTTTCCCGAATTTCGAACGTTACCCAACTATTCGATTATTCGATTCGAAATTTTGGTGGAACAAAATCGATTTAATTCGATTTTTTCCGAATTTGCAACCATTTTTTACTGAAAATTTAAAGGTTTGTTTGTAAGAATGATAACTCAAATCGAAAAATAAATTCAACTGAACTTGCATTAAAGTGATTAATTATCCGTAGCGCTCTTATTAGCTTCAAAACCAAAAATAAATTCAAATAAGAAGTTATTTTCCAAATAAATATCTCAAAAAATATCATCATATTTAGTATCAATTAAAGAAACATACAAAATGTACTATATAGAAACTAATTATTTGGGACGTACAAGAATATTAAAAAATGTATACACATGTTTATACTTTTACAACGAATAAAAAAGTCTTACATTTACATTACAAAGTATGACTTTGCTTTTTAAAGCGAGATCTTTAAGTAAACAAAGAACAAAATAATAGGGCGTGACGAGTTCTATCGAGCCAAATTTTTGGCAAATGTGATACCACACATATTGGTGTCAAATTTAGTCAGAAAGAAGAACGAAAAAAAGCGAAATTCGATTTTTTTTTTAGAATAATTCGGAGCTAAAATTCGAATCTAAAAGCTTCGAGTATCGAATTAGCCCATCCCTAGTCCCCAAAAACCAAAACAAAAAAAAATTTGATACCCATAAAAAATCTTTGGTTTTAAAAAATAGTAAAATAAAAAAAAATTTACATTATTATTGGAAGTCTCCTAAAGAGAAACACAGTTCTCTGATCGAAAAATACTGATTTTCAAGAATTGTATACCATTTCTACGAAAATCTATTGTTCCTCATATAAAATATATGGAAAATTTCAAGAGATGTGAGGCAGTTCTAAATATAATTTTTTTAAACAATTAGAAAAATGGTAGGGGTGAGGCTTAATATTTTAAACCCCTTTTTCCCCCCCAACATGTAATTTTGGAACACCCTAATGTACGGTCTACACCATATATGTATGTAGGTGCTGATAGTGTTTGCATTCAAATTTTTGAAAGTAAATACACCAAACGACACTTCATGGTTCAAAGGTGCTACACGTAGCTACAAACAGAGATGTTAGCAAGCGCAAATATGAGTACCGGCACTAACTTGTATGTTTATTTGTATGTCATCTTATGTTTACAAACACATATTCATATGTAATTATTTGTTTGCCAAATTTATAGGGCAGTTATCAGCGCCTCTGATTTAACTATTTGAGTGCTGTTATGACATTCACTTGGGACATGCAGTCACTTATACTTACATATTTGCATACATACATACAGTGACTCAAACAGTGACGACGGGTTGTTTTTTTTTAATATTCGTAATATTCCAGCAAATTTGTTTGTTATTTTTTATATAAAAATATACACTTTATACAAAATTTAGGTAAATTCAACAAAGTATGCAGTACAAATTCAGTCTAATTAGGTGCAAGTTTCAAACGGCTAAAAAAATGCGTTGATTTTTGAGAATTTCTTTTTCGGAGGCTACCTTTTCGGGTTTTTTAATACAACGCGCGATTTACAAAAACTTGCGTTGATTTTTTGAAATGTTGTTGCTGACGGTCTCCCGCGTTTTATTTCATAAGAAATTCATATTTATACGAAAAAAGTGCAAAAATCCAGTATGAAAAAATCAAATTGAATTACAAGATAACTAGACTAGATGTTAAGTAGGAGGGAGTCATGAGTTTGAAACATCTCAACAACTTTAACTCATCTACTATTTCCCATTTTTGGCTCTAATAAATTTAGTAACTTAGGCATTTTTTATAGCTATCACAGCTTTGAAAATAATTATACTGGTAAAATATAAAACTAAAAGGATATTATGAACTATCTTACCTCGAATTAAGTATAATATTTTTCATTTGATAAAAACTGGAGTTAAAATAGAGAGGTTGCAAAAACCGATTTCATCTGCAATAAAAAATGTATATCATATTAGGCTAGATATATTAAAAACATAAATAATGTGTAAGTTAATAAAACAATATTGGCTAATCTTTAGTAAAAATATGTCGTAGAAAAGTTGCCAGCTCGGAAGAATATCCGCATGTTTAAAAAATTACCAGAGTACGTATTCTTGACGAAATCAGTGCCCTCTTTTTTCGGTGACCAGTTTAAAGGCGATTGAAGTAAAAACCATAAAGTACTAACTCTAGTCTACAATGTTCGCGATTGGTGCAAAAAATAAGATGCCTTTAGATCATTGTGGGACTACTTAGCGCAGCGAACGACACGGAGCGAATGCTCAGTAGCGTGGGAAATTGAGGTTTTGTTAGCAACTTCACATAAACAGTACTATAGAAGAAGAAGGTAGCACAGGACGCAACGGCTCACTAAGATCATAAGCATTGCAAAAGTTAGGTAGTTTAGGAGGAAGTTTTGAGATAATTTGAAAACTTAGTCCCCGAAGCAGCTGCTTCAGAGAGGATCCAGTATGATATTTCGTTGCATCGCGTGAACTCTAATCGGTCAGTGTCCTGTCAAGACATCCACCAAAGTTAAAGCGACGGCTCCGTGAGCTTAAGGAGGTCCCTTGCCAAAGAGCTGATCCCATTTCGTCGTCCTCCTATACGCAGCTGCGATTGTGATGATCAGGTGTGACATTTTGTCTGGTCGCATGAACACACTTCGGACAGTGTACTGTCATCAATGCCAGCCACTCAGCCAACATAATTTAGTAAAGGAGGTCCTTTTAACTGCTAGCGGTTAGAAGCACATATCCCTGGTTCACCGAGCTGAGTAGTCCACAGGCAGACATTTGCTTCCACTTTTTCTTTTCGTTGACCGTGCCTCGAAGGCAGTTTTCTTTTCCAGCTCATTCGCCATGCAGTTTCATATCACAATCTCTGACAGTGATAATATTTTGACATAGCCGCAATCGAGCTCAGGCAGTTGCGCCAATGTAAACTTGGTAAATTAGAAATATGGCAAAGTAGTTTGAATTCGAGAATGTTTTAAGCAGGGATATCAGGGTTTGCACATTTTTACTGATTTGTACATTTTGACAGACACAGAGTGGAATTTTTTTTATTCAGCTGAACTCAAAGATTGGCATGTCTATCCGCCACTGGATCTATAAGAACGTGTTCAACTGCGGCTTTAGAGTTTCCCCTAGGATGGATTCCTCTCCATATTTTTATCCAGGAAACAGCAGCCACGAGAGAGCTGCAGCTTCGTCTATCTAACGATGGCTTCTTAGCAAAGAAGCTTCCTGCATGCATCCTAAGAAGGGAATATACCAGAGTTGGAAATATGCGGAATCTTTGATTCCATGACTAAAGATGTCTGCTCGGGTAGAAAGTTTCAGGTGATAATTTCCGATCGCGAATATTGTGCAAATGGGCTCCCTGCGCTTGATCTCAGTTATTTCCACTGGTACACAGACGGTTCAAGGATGGCGGACAGAGCAGGTGCAGGTATCTTGGGACCAAGCACCAAACTGGTAATTCCCATGGGCAAATGGCCCACGGTGTTTCAGGCTTAAATAGTCGCAATTTTAAACTGCGCAAAATTAAATCTTGGAAAAGGTTTAAAGGGCGCATTTCGAGATATCTTTTCAGATAGCCAAGCAGCCATCTGGGCCCATTCAAACAGGACCATAAAATCCAAGCTGATTAGAGACTGCTTTGACACGCTACAAATTTTATCAGCCAAAAATACGGTAACACTGTGCTGGAGTACCAGGCCATTGGGGAATCGAAAGCTCGCTAACTGCCTTTTTGCTACCTGAACCATTCCGAGGTCTGAGTTGGCCCTCTTCGAGAGCCATAATTACTGAGTGGGTACAACCGGAACACAAGAAGTACTGGGGAGCG